ACTTCAGGTTCACAGGTTCCAAATGCTGCTACCAATTGCAAGAAGAGTATCCAGACTAAGTCCCATAGTGGGCTGCCATAAAGTCCAGTTGGCCCCTGCCTCATTGTTAAGTTTGACTTTTTTTGTCAAAGCCTAGGTGAGGCAGAGTCTTGTATTTTATGTACATTGTCTTGCTGGCACATACAAAATCCCCACATTCCAGTCTTCCTACAGGTCAATTGGAATTTTTTTTGTTAATTTAATGAGAGTCAGCCAACCACCTCCTCAGTCACAGAGACACAGCACAAAATGCTGAAGTAAAAATGAGACACTGGTTGAATACACCCTGTAGAATTTATCTGCGGGATATAGGTTTTTTTGAAAGCACAGGCACCATATGGACCTAAATTCAATCTTTAATTTAGCACTGTTCTAATACAACTATTCTTATAAAAGTGTTATCTAAAAAAAAACGGTTGCTATATACTATATTGCTTGTAAATGAAGGTATACATTCAGACAGCCATCTTTTCTCATCACATATGCAGATTCTACTTCCTAATTATCATACTATCTCACTGCAACTATAATTAGAGGCTATCTGTAATTATGTGAAAATTGAACAACCTGTCTATCAACGCAAATTTTCATTTGTTTTTCTAACCAGCTATAGGCTGCTTAAATCAATTGACTCTCTGACATTTCTGATTTTAAAAAAATACCCATAATGACTACAGTGATCTTTACCCTAGACTAATCTACTTGGATCCAGTATTTTTCTTTTTTTCATAATGGCAAGGAAAAGGTCCATTTTGTGTTGGCTTGTTTTTTTTTTTTTTTTAATTAAGTACAGGATTGCTGGACTAGCATGTCAGGTTAATAAATCATCCTCCTACTTAGATGTACAAGCATGAAATATGTACAAGTTATGATCCAGACCTAGCATTGTAAGTCAATATACAGAACTATTTATATACAGAAACAAAAAAAACAGAGTTTTTGCCATCAACCATATAAAAAAACCTCTATATTAATTATTTTATATCTTACAAACAGCATGATATATACTTACAGGAATGGAAACACTTGGATTTCTCCAGCTAGGAGCAGCTGCACGTTCCTTTTCTTCCTAAATAAAAAATGTAATTTATTAATGCTGTTGTCACAATATGGTATGAGATAATCACTATTATTTCCATCACACTAGTTGTCCCAAAACATTAACGTACAAAAACAAATTGAGAAATGTATTCATTTTACCTTGTGCCAAAGCTCCACATAAATGGCAACATTATAAAGGTTACCGATATCCCTAATGAATTTTAAGCTTCCATTTTGTAACTTGCGTTTGGAAAGGCAATCTTTGTCATGAATAAATTCAATGCTGGATCAAGGACAGCAGGACCTTACTTGGGAAAAAAATGATTATGCACCAACTGTCACTAGCTACTTGTTAACTTGGCTGATAATTTTGATTCATGCCTATAATACTTTAAAATTGATAATGGAGTCTTGTTTTCATCTTTTGGCTTGTTTGGAGCATAGCCTAGTTGTAAATTACAGGGCTAAAAGAAAACATCAAACAGGTGCCTAAAATGTGTAATGAATAAAATCACAAGCAGCACATTTTGGAACAGATCAAAAAGACGCAACACAGTTTCCCATCAGAGCATACCAAGCAAATTGGTTCTTAAGTGTGAATGAGCCTAATCTGACCATCTTGTAATACAGAGACAGAGATGGCAGACAGGCTATTTGTAGACAGCTTTACAAGGTATTAGTTGCACAACTTACTTACTGATTGCTCAAATACACTCTGCTTTCTTTAGCAAGATTTTTAAAGGAAGTAAAAACAAGCCCCGAAAAAAGAGTTGTAACCATGATTTTAGGCGTTTTTTTTTCATTTAATGCTTTAACTTGTTTGTTTTATTTTCAGCTAACCAATAAAAGAAAATTTTCTGCCACACAAAATTACCTTGGCATTGTCTGTGCTCTATTATTTTGTAGAAATACCATATACCTATGTAATTTATTGTGTATGACTACTAGACTACTGCTATGAGTGAACTTAAAGTACACCTGTAATGAGAGCAACATGGAGGCTGCCATTGCTGACTTGCTTCAGAAAATCATAATTTGGCTTCAGTTCTTCAATTCCACAGATCCAGAACATACACTAAGGGTAGGTTCACACACCTATGCAGGTTGCATTTGCAATGCATTTCTGCATTGCAAATGCCAAAAGAAAGCTCTATTTGTGGGGAAAAAAGGACATAAATTTCATTTGGGTGCAGAGTTGCATGACTGTGCAACTGTCGTTTAAAGTAACGCAGCGCCGTATTGCAAAAAATGGCCTGGTCAGGAAGAGCATAAATGGTGCAAAAAATGCCGCAGAAAAAACGGCTATGAAGTGCTAGTGACATAAGTGAATATACCAATGGCTGATGTATACAAAAGTGACTCAGTACCAAATGATCAAACAAAATTAATTGATGAGTGACTCAATCCAAAACCATCAAAAAAGTAACTCAGTCCCCCTAAAAATATATATAATAAATAAATAAATAAATAAATAATAATTTAAAAATAAATAAATAAATATGACAGTCCCAAAAATTCTGAAAAAAAATCCAGAAAAAAAAACGCAGTGAATCTTCAATGCATGCCATGACACATCCAGTGCTGCAAACATAAATGAACAAATCCTCCACCGGCTAGCTTGCGCACTGACCTTCACAATTCGACCCACAAGGAGTCACAAAGCATAGAAAGCCTCAAATGATGATTTCCAAGACAAAGGTCATCTCCAATGGCGCTGACACTCTCAGGCATGCTCCAGAAATGGTCGCAGACCTCTGTCATCCCCAATGCCTCACATAGAAGATGCAAGCAAGAAGACTCCCATAGTGTAATATGTCACAAACTTTATTTTAAATAACATCTAAGAATCATTACTCACATTTAAAATAGGTCCAAAGACCAAAACAGGCAAAATTATTGCAGTAAAAAAAACTGCAGGGAAGGTGTATGGGTTTGGGAGTACCAAGATGGTGGCTGCCATGCTTCCATCCTATGGGTTACGTCACGAGTCACGTGACTTCCGCAGGGCTCCTTGTGTCACTAGCAATTCATAGCCATTTTTCTGCTGCCGGTACTGAAATTTGGCAATTATTGCACCATTTATGCATTTATATGTTATGTTCTCACCCGGATGAGGGACTTTTTATATACCTATTTAGTTTGTCATTAATTTTTTCACATATCAGTCACTTAGTAGCGCAGCACCCTGTCACGTTTTAATTGCTTTTTCACTATTTTGGAATATAGTTAGGTGTCTGCGGCCACTTTTTTTGTTTTTTGGGGTCACTTGGGGGGTAGGAAGGTAGCACAGGAGATTCATCTCTATTCTATTCAATAACAATGTATTGACACCCCAGAGCCAATTACAAAAGCAGTGTGTATTGAATGTGGTGTGGGAAACGTGCATGGAATGCATCTTTCTACCACGTTCTGGTGTGAACTTGCCCTTAGACAATGACTTTTGAGTAAGGGCTCATTCACCCTTGTGCTAACTATGAAAATTGAAGCTCATTAATGTTCCTATAGCATTTATGATGTGTTTATGACATGTTTTCATTGTGTTTATGAAGAGCTGAAAGCACTTCAAGAATGCATGTCCATATAAGTGCTGATTTACTAGTATTAAGTGCTTAACCTCCCTGGCGGTATGATTATTTCAGATTTTTGGTGCTGAAAGCGTGTACCATTTTTTTTTGCATGGAAATATGTATTTTTTTTATTGTAGGCTGTAATTTTTTAGGAAAAACTCACTGAAATCTGTCCGAACAAGAGTCTAGTAAACATCCCGGGTAGGATAAAATTTGAAACACAAAATCATAAATTATAATTTAATAAATAATCATAAAAATATATAAAAAATAATAAAAAATTTTAATTCAATAATATAATCAAACCAAAAACACTGAAATGTGAAATAGAGCGCCAAGTTCGCACATTGCTGAGCTCAGTCGCAAAATCGTTTTCAGTTTCTGATGACGAATTTCCCCCACGAATCATTATCACTCAATTCTGTAAGTGGTTCTGATTTACTATCGCTGTTCTCTAGCTGATCTAAACCGCTTTTGACCTAAAGGGACACTTTTTGGACGCCATGGACATTTTCTCAGTTTCCAGGCAGAAAGAACAGACAAAATGCAGGCAGGGCACAGGACAAAGCACTAGGGACAATATGTATGTGAAATAGGTTGAAACAGCAATGTTTTACTGTGTAAAATGAAAAAAAAAAAAATGACATTTTTCAATTTCCCGCCGCCGGCGGCGGCGGCGCGCCCGTACGTCCCGACGTCACAGGGACAGGACACAGAAGCCGGATGCCGGCATCGGCCGGAGGAGATGGCCGGGGACGCTGCAGGGGACACATCGTGGGAGCGCAGGGTAAGGTAAGTGAAGAACACATACCGGAGCAGCGCCGCATGGTATTCCCGAGTGTAGCTCGGGGGTTACCGCTTTTGGTACTGAAATGTTACCCCGAGCTACACTCGGGAATACCGCCAAGGAGGTTAAAGGGGAAGTGATGTAGAGGAAATGATCTAATTTGAGGCATGGTTAGGTCGTGGCGTGATACCAGACATTTTTGTGAATTCTCTGAAAGATGGATTTGAAACTTTGATCTCTTTGACACTTGTGCTTCTGTCTGGCACTGTCAGTATTGCTGGTTTGTTGATACTTTTTCCTGCACACAGAAGCAAATGATGCTACCACATAGCTGCTCTGTACAAACAGGAAGTGGCTGGAGCTCCTTTGTCCTAGCTCTCTATTATTTCCCAGTGCATTCTGGGATACCGGAACCTCCAGTGCCTAGCCCCCAATGCCCAGTTAACATTTTATAAATGTTTCACTAGCACACCATAAATGCTATAGGTGCTGTTAAAGTGCCGTTACCTTTGAAATCAATGTAGGCAGCTAACAATCATCGATGCCTCATAAACGCGACATGCTGCTTATCCTCCCTGGAGGTATTCCCGAGTGTAGCTCGGGGTAAAGTTTCAGTACCACAAGCGGTAACCCCGAGCTACACTCGGACTTACCGTGCGGCGTTGCTCCACGATCCCTCAATCACTTACCTTGTCCTGCGCCCCCCCGCGATGTCCCTCCTGCAGTGTCCCCGGCAATGTAATCCTGCATCTGTCATCTGGGTTCCGTCCCCTGGGAGTGTCGGGCCGTACTGGGGATGGAACGGCGGGAAATTTGAAAATGACAAAAAGTGATATTCACTAAAATCACATAGTATAACATTACTGTATCAAACCATTTCAAATACATTTTGTCCCTAGTGCTTTGTCCTGTGCCCTGCCTTCATTTTGACCTTTCTGCCTGGAAACTTAGAAAAGTCCATGGCGTCCAAAAAGCGTCCCTTTAGGTCAAAAGCAGTTTTAGACCGGCTAGAGAACAGCGATAGTAAATCAGAACCACTTGCAGAATTGAGTGATAATGATTCGTGGGGAAATTCGTCATCAGACACTGAAAACGATTTTGCGACTTTACGAGGAGATGTGCAAACTTGGCGCTATATTTCAAATTTCAGTGTTTTTGGTTTGAATTATATTATTGAATTAAAATTTATTATTATTATATTATTATTTTTTATGATTATTTATTAACCTCCCTGGCGGTATGATCATTTCAGATTTTTGGTGCTGAAAGCGGTACCATTATTTTGCATGGAAAGTTGGCGTTTTATATTGTAGGCCTGTAATTCTTAGGAATAACTCACTGAAATCTGTCCGAACAAGAGTCTAGTAAACATTCCGGATATAAAAAAAAAAATCATGAAACATGAAATCATAAATTATAATTTAATAAATAATCATAAAATAATAATAATATAATAATAAATTTAATTCAATAATATAATAAACCAAAAACACTGAAATTTGAAATAGAGCGCCAAGTTCGCACATCACTGAGCAAAGTCGCAAAATCGTTTTCAGTGTCTGATGACGAATTTCCCCCATGAATCATTATCACTCAATTCTGCAAGTGGTTCTAATTTACTATCGCTGTTCTCTAGCTGGTCTAAAACCGCTTTTGACCTAAAGGGACGCTTTTTGGACTCCATGGACATTTCTCAGTTTCCAGGCAGAAAGAACAGTAAAAATGCAGGCAGGGCACAGGACAAAGCACTAGGGACAAAATGTATGTGAAATGGTTTGATACAGTAATGTTTTTCTATGTGATTTTAGTGATTTTTGTGAATGTCACTTTTTGTAATTTTCAAATTTCCCGCCATTCCGTCCCCCGTACGTCCCGACGCTCGCAGGGGACGGAACCCAGATGACAGATGCCGGCATCCGCCGGATTACATTGCCGGGGACACTGCAGGAGGGACATCGCGGGAGCGCAGGATAAGGTAAGTAAATCAAGGGATCCTGGAGCAGCGCCGCATGGTATTCCCGAGTGTAGCTCGGGGTTACCGCTTGTGGTGCTGAAACTTTACCCCGAGCTACACTCGGGAATACCGCCAGGGAGGTTAAATTATAATTTATGATTTCGTGTTTCAAGTTTTATCCAACCGGGATGTTTACTAGACTCTTGTTCGGACAGATTTCAGTGAGTTATTCCTAAAAATTACAGGCCTACAATAAAAAAAAATACGTATTTCCATGCAACAAAATGTTCCACTTTGAGCACAGAAATATGGACATAATCAGACCGCTAGGGAGGTTAAATTTTAACACACAGCACTGTGAGGTGCCTTTGTAGTATTCATGGCAGGCATGGGGCTTTAAAAATGCAGAATAAATGCTGCATAAACACAGAGTACTGACACATGTGCGAGCAAGCCCTAAAACAGAGAGGAAGTGGACATGCCCTTCCTATGACCCATTCATTTGTGTACATTACTTGAGCTCTAACTATTCAGTTATTTTGTATTTATAACATATGCTATTTTCAGGACAGTAGGAAAGTCAGTAAAAAAAGAGGAAAAGCAATCTACAACTCCAACTGCTGGCTGCAGTGGTAAATATGAAAAATTTCTATGCAATATTTTATATGTATCTGATTAAAGTAAACATAAATACACATATAGTCAAGAGCATAAAGAGATATATAATATTATACACAAACCCTATTCATTCCTTTTAACAACCTCCCGCCCACCATATAAGGAAATGATGGATGGGCGGCAGTTCTCTCATTCTGGGATTACATCATATGATGTCCTACCACTCTAACTGCGGACAGCGTGGCGATCGGTGGTGCGCTGTGTCCCTGGGATGCAGCAGATCATCGATCACAGTAAAGAGCCAATGACGTCAGCTTTGTTATGTGATCAGCTGTGTGCAATTACAGCTGATTGCTTGTAAACAAGGAAATGCCAGTTATCGGCAGTCCGCTCCTCACGCTGACAGCGCGTGAGGAGAGGAGAGCCGGTAAGCATTCCTCAGAGGGGACATCTACACTGATAATCAGGGCACTGATTGTCAGTGCCCTGATGACCAGTGTAGCCCAATCATTGCCACCTGTCAGTGCCCATCAATGCCACATACCAGTGCCCATCAGTGCACATCAATGCCACATATCAGTGCCTACCAGTGCACATCAATGCCACATATCAGTGTCCATCAGAGCTGCCTTTCAGGGCCAACTATCAGTGCTAGTCAGTGCCACCTATTAGTGTTTGTCAGTGACGGCTATCAGTGCCACCTATCAGTGCCCATCAGCGCTGCCTATCTGTGACCATCAGTGCTGCCTAACAGTTCCAATCAGTGCACCTATCAGTGCCGTCTATCAGTGCCACCTATCAGTGCTGCCTCAGTGCCATATATAAGTGCTGCCTTTCAGTGCCCATCAATGTTGCCTGTCAATGCCCACAAGTGATGCCTGTCAATGCCCATCAGTGCCACCTACCACTGCCTCCTTACCAGTGCTATCTATCAGTGCCCATCAGTGCAGCCTATCAGTGCCCATCACTGAAGCCTCATTACCGCACATCAGTGAAGAAAAAAAAATACTTATTTACAAAATTCTATAACAGAAACTAAGAAAAAACTTTTTTTTTTTTCAAAATTGTCAGTCTTTTTTAGTTTGTTTAGAAAAAAATAAAAACCCCAGTGGTGATTAAATACCACAAAAAGAAAGCTCTATCTGTCTCAAAAAAGATACAAATTTTGTGTGGGTATAGTGTTGCATAGCACCGCAATTGTCATTCAAATTGTGACAGCGCTAAAAGCTGAAAATTGGCCCAGGCAGGAAGGGGGTAAAGGTGTCTGGTAGGCAAGTGGTTAAAATATAAGACACAACTCACTCGTCATCGCAGCATTAAAGTAGGGCACTTGGGGATTCTTGCTTCTGGTTATATCCTGACAAGCGGGTGCTGGATGGAGCATGTGTTATATACATCAGAACTACACACATATGGATGTACAGTATGTTGGTGGATTACATTATAACAAAACTTTCTAAATGTTGACAATTACCAACGTAATGCAATTGCATTGATAAATAATGCTAAGATCTTTACCATTAGTCAGAATTTATAGCATACTTATAAATAAAATTGTCCAGAGATTCACAAAATAAGTGATAAAATATCTTGATTTGACAAAGTTGTAGAACTATTCCGTAATTCAGCTATTATTGGATGTACACTACTGACTAGGTGGATTAGGCCCAGCTGTAGGCTTAAAAGAGAGTCTGAGGTAATTTCTACTATCTTTGGATTAGCTGTTTTTATCTTGTTCAGGTCCGTTCTATGATTCTCAAGTCATTATAGCAGCTTTGGCAGATGGTGCTTGTGGGCAGATAGGGAACAGTCTGAAGGTCTGAAGGTCCCCCAAAACAAATGTATTATTATTAACACGAGTTTATATAGCGCCAAAGGTTTCTCAGCGCTGTACAAAGGGGGGGACAATACATGGCCAGTAAACAAGACAGCGTAGGGGTGAGGGCCCTACCTTGCTTAAATCTAGGAGGGAGGGGGTATGTATGAACCTGAAATGTATTGTTTTAAAGCCAGATAAAATGCGTATATTTATCCAACAAGTTTCATCTATACAGCTTTCTAAGCAAAGCAGAACATTGAAGTAACAAATACTCTCTTTTTAAATACATAGTTGAGGTGGTTTATTCAAGGATTATGCTTTTCATGTATCCAAGTGAACCAAAATTCACTTTGAAAACCCATGTGGAAAGAAAAAAACTTAAAAAATCCTATGCGCATCCTTTGATAATTGAGGTGTATATAGATACTCTTAAATAAGTGCAAAATGTTTTCTTAATAGTCAATAAACTTCAAGTCGCACTGACTTTACAGGATGTGATGGGAAATTTCCTTAGCAGCACACAGACAGCAGTAAGAAACAAAGGTTCTAATGGAGGGCATATGGGAATGTAGGCCGCACCTTTTCTCCCTCTCCCGAATACCAAATATCTAACAATTTAAATAAATACACACACAACCTTTAATGGCAAATTTTGGCCGCAGTACATTATTGGTTTAAATAAATAAATAATAACAAATGCTATAAATATTTAATTAATAATCAAGTTTATACTTCTCTTATTAAATAACAATCAAATAGCTCAGTCATTAAGGACTCGAGCTCAAATTGAATAAATATAACAACAGTCCCCCCTTTAAATGTAAAGGGTGACAATACCACATAATGTGTGGGTGGTTGCACTGACACTGACTAGCTGGCAAAATCCAGCTGGCGGAGCTCCTTTATATAATAAGCCCCACTGTTCTGGAATCTTTCAACTAGTAATCCTACCTTCTGGAATTTTCTCTACTTGTTTTTTCCGCCCAAACTTTCTTCAAAATTGAAAGGCACAGTAACCTTATATATATATATATATATATATATATAAATTATTATTATTTGTTTTAATTAAAAGAGGTAAAAGAGGGAGGGGCAGCCGCATACCCATGTTATTGGGCCCAAAGGACTGAGCCCTCATAATACATTCTTTTAGAACTGGAAAAATTTCTTATACAGTAGCTGAATTAAACATGAAAACCATTGATCATGCGACCACTGTGATTGGCTGTCACAGTGGTCACATGATCGGAAGCCTGTCCTGACGGCTACCCATGTTTTCCCAGGACAGAGAGCCATGTTCAGCAGCTCAGTCTTTGTGCTGTGAGCACACAGGGAGAATGATCCCAGAACATAAACATTGCCCGCCCAGCAACTCATAAGTGTGGCTTTATAGTCCAGCTTTTTGCCATTGCACATATAAATTACTGTCGCATAAGGGGGTTAAAATAAAAAATGTGTAAAACAGTTACAGTGTGCACTACCAAAAACAAATAAACCAAATAAAAATAAAATAATAATCAAGCTAACAGAGTTGCTGCACCCACTGATAAGTGAACCCACACCTCCAAGAATAAGATATAATAATAAAGTGCTATGCTACTCAATAAAACATCTCAAATACATAGGTACACTGAATATTATTGAAACAATCAAAAAATC